ACGTCTGCCTCAATTCTGGCTTATCAGAGAAAATGAAAGGCCCAAATGCACAAACGTAGTAAGCAAATCTTCAGAGAGCACATTTTAGACAAACGATTTCATTCAAAGAGGTAGGAATAGAAAGTGGGTCCCTTCATAATCCATTTCAATCGAAAGGGACGGTAAAGTGGATCCGTAAATACGATTGCCGCCAGTCACCTTCCCTGGTTTAGTGTATTGATGATCTTTTCGTGAATGATGATCTTCGGCTCTGAGGGATCGGGGTCAGAGGACAGTTTGACGAGGGATTTTTGGTACATTTCATCAGTCCCAATTCCAAGACCCTCTTACGGTTTCTGAAGTTGCAAATCTCGTCCACCTTTTCACAAGAGATGCAACCTGCAACGGCAGGAAGTCATCATACGAAGCTTTTTTCAGAGTGGTCCTTTGACCTTTTTCTCAATTTACCCAGGTCCCGATTCGGATAGTCAAACGACCTGGTTGGGCCAAATTAGGCAAGATTTCGCCTCCTAAATCCGTAACTCCGGAGTGGTGATTGTCCCCACGTGGAAGTCTTTCAATCGTAATTTGAGAACGCCGAATGGACGCAGCTCGAAGCGATCCAAAAAAGCTTAAACGGAACACAACTACGTAACAAAGAAGAGAGCTTGACAGCTTTTCCATTTGTTCTCTGAACCCTCGAAGTGAAGCGTGACGACCAGCTAGAACACATCAGGGGGTGGCATGCTTGTATAAAACGTCCGGATGAAATGAATGTATGCTAGCTATCCCACATTCAATTTCACCCTCTCTCTCTACACACACACACACACACACACACACTCACACACTAAAGCTAATCCTACTCAGGAGCAAGTATTTGCGATTGTTGAGCTCATATCCGTTTCGAGAGAAAGTGTGTCTGAGAAAGAGATTTAAAGGTGGATCCCACCAAAGGATGATGACAAATTCCTCTCGCTAACTGGAGCATTCTGGTTAGCGCTGTCTCCTTCGGTCCCGGTGAAAACGTGATAACCTTTCGTCCGTCATATGACGGACACCATTCGATCAGGGTATCATTCTTACAAGCATATTCAAGTTATACGAAGAAAACGCGGTTTTAGAACAATCCCACCTGAGGACACTCTTCACAACACATTCAAGCTGAGTCAAGTTAAACTCTATTCGTTGCT